TGGGAAAACGTGCATTCACCGCTTTGAAGTGATACCAACATGGGTTCTCCTTGTTTCCGCCCGGACTCTTGCCTCTGTCGTTGGCACTATCGGACTTGCCGTTCTTGCCAGCGTGACCCTTTGCTTTGGCCTTCGGTAGCACGGGAGCGGCATCAGGACCATTGGACTTGTTCTTCTTCCCTTTGCCACCCTGGTTATCCTGCTTGCCGGCGGCCGGCGCTGCGTCTTTGCCGCCCGACTTCATCATCGACTTGACCGACTTCTCCTTCATATCGAGCATCAGGTCCTCCCGATCCGACTTGATTTGGTGGTCGATCAATGCCAATAAGAATTCATACGGCTTCTGAGGATGTTTGTCTGGTAGCCGATGGTAGGCGTTCAGACCAAACTCCATCTTCTTGCTCCCTTTGATCTTCCTGTATAGAATATCTCTGAGAGCCAATGTGCTGGGCCTATCCTCGCTCCTCATCTTTAGCAGCAAATCATACCACTTGTTCCTGAACACAACCAAATTCTTGTCTCCAGGGAAGTCAAGGTTGAATAAGTGCTCAATGTGGTAGACAAGGTCCGTTCGGTCAGACGTCCTGAATGATTGCATGACCAATGCCACCAACTCCCGTCCCTTCACGATCACCCCTTGTTGATGTCGTAGTTCTGAGTGTCGCGTAGCATCGAGGTATACATCCTTGGCCTCGTCTGGTGCTTGTCTGAACATGTTCTGCATGCCCATGGCCATTTTGATGTCTATTGTAGCGAATCTGTCGCCGCCGGAGTCGCTCAGAGAATTGAGGTCTGGGTTTAACCCAAGAGCCTGTTCCAACCATTTCGTCCACGTGTCGGTATCTGGATCTGCGCATGCACTTAGAACATTCATCAGCAATTGCATCTTCCAGTTGTCGAGTTGGTGGATCTTTGGCCAAGTGGGAATGGATACCCTCTCAGCCTCTTTCCTTGAAATCCTCGGTCTCTCGTTCTTGATCTCGCGATCATCCCTCAATCTTCTGCGCCCCCTCCGTGTCCGACTGTCATCTTCTTCTTCTTCCTCGTCCTCCTCATCCTCTTCGTCGTCGTCATCCTCGTCTTCATCATCGGGTGGATCATCTGGAGGTCCCCCTCCACCACCTGTTAGACTCAATTGACGTCGACCTGGCCCTTGTCGATTCCCATTGGGTGAGAATCCACTGTAATCCACTGGGGTTGTAGTACCGTTGTTTCCCCCTCCGTTACCACCACCACCAGTCGTAGCAGCAGATTGTGGGACTTGCCCAACAACCCCTTGCATCTGTGATAGGTGTACATCGATCATTGGATCACCGAAAGACGGAAAGAGGATCGAACCTGGCACTAGCGACGAATTAGGGATCAGATTAGATGATGATGACGGGTATAACCCAGTCACCTTCTTGTCTCCCCTAGTCGAACTAGTTTGGGGTCCTCCCTCAGCGCGTTTCACTACTGCTCGTCCACGACGTCCATTTTTACTGCTCAAGGCCTCCTGTATCTCCAGCTTCTTGAGTGTCCGGAGTTCCTCATTATCCGCATCGAGCTGACGAACGAAACTCTCTTCTTGTTTAAGTGTCGCTTCCCGCTCTTTCAGTTGTCCCTGAAGTTCGCGCATCTCCTCGAGGTACTCATCATACACTCCTTTAGCTGTCAGTCTCCAGTACTCGGCCTCCTTCGATTTCTCGTCCATCGTGCACCGTTCTTCTTGTTTCGCTTCTCTGACCTGGGCCAATTCCAAGATTGCATCTTGACGATGACCACCCTCGATAGCAATCATCTGGTCCTTCTTCGACACGTCGGATTCATACTGTCTGATGATCTCTTCCTTCTCGCGAAGCAAGCATTCTGCTCTTTTCGATTCTTGCTCTGCGAATGTCGTAACGTCATTCAGTCTCGTCATCAGCTGCTCCCTGGAGTCCTCCATCGAGTACATCTCGGGGCGTTTGACGAGTGCGTGTTCCAACTGTGATTTCAGACTTTGAACCATCTCCTCTTCGTTGAACTTCTCGATAGATGTAGATGACTCAATACCTCTGATCTGTTGCTGGTAAACTGATATCTGTTGTGAAGCCTCACGGTGTAACTGAGTTGCACGTATAGCTGATTCCTGTGCGGCCGACTTCTCGCTTGCCATATAGGATCTCATCACTGCAATCTCCCGTTTCTGCTCCATAATAGTTCCCTCAGCTTGTCTCATCTGTTGCATCATAACATTCGATTCCATGTCCTTCTTTTCCCCGTATTGATATGCGTTCATTTCCACCTTGCGCATCTGTTGGGCTTCCTCCTCAAACTTGCGCCAGGCCTCCGCCATATGGTGTTGGTGATGACTCACAAGATGTCCCGATTGCTCGCTGGCAATCTCACACTTGGATCCGGATGGTGCTCCCTCTTCTTGATGAAGATTTGCCATTGCTGACGACATTTCATCAAGTGTCTTCTGATACTCCCCGATCTCCATCTCCATCTTATTCTTTTCTTTAATCGCGGCGCGAAACTCGGCACTCGTGGGTGATTTGGATCTCCCACCTATCGATGTCGACCTCACGCCCTTCTGCGACGTCCGCGGTGTCGCAGGCGAAGACGATGATCTTCTCGGTGGAGATCCTCTTTGCTTCGACTCCTGACGAGCATCGATTTGTTTCCATGACATTGTAGGTGTGGATATGTCGCTGAATAGTGTGGATCCTCCGCTCCCAGGGTCGTCCTGCGAATCCGCGACCAAATCCATTACCGCAGGAAGAGCCATCAATCCATTGGATCCCTCTGAGCTGTCGTTCCCAAAAGTTGCAGTACTTGGGCTCGCTGAAGATGCCATTGTACCGTGTAGGTTATTGTCCCTTTGTAGTTCCTGTACCCGCAATAAACCAGCTGTCTCTCCGCCCAGTGTAGAGCTTGTCGTTACGGCTGATAACCTGTCAAGAGACGGCAAGGTGACGTCCCGTGGGACGCTGTCCACCGAACCCTCCAGCTGTGTGTACCCAACCACGTAGAAAGGTGTATACGGTCAAACCGTTATAGCCGAACCCGTGAACTGTTGTAAGGGATAAGGACCAATAACCACGATGGTGATCCTGGCAGCTACGGCGCGAATGAAGAATTTTCCACTCTGTGTAGTCGATCACGTGCGAACGTAGTTCATGCAAGACCTTGAGCCCTTGAGCCAAATGTGGCGTCCAATGGAACAACATAATCAACAATAACACAGACCTCAGAACAGCTTCCCAATTTAGGCACCGGGCCAGGAGGGTTTTAACACATACATACATACATACATACATACATACATACATACATACATACATACTTACTTACTTACATTACATACATACATACATACATACATACATACATACATACATACATACATACATACATACATACATACATACATTACATTACATTACATTACATTACATTACATTACATTACATACATACATACATACATTACCTACATTACATACATTACATACCTTACATACATTACATACATACATACATACATACATACATACATACATACATACATACAAACAAACAAACATTACATACATACATACATACATGCATGCATGCATACATACATACATACATTACATACATACATACATACCTACTTACATGCATACATTACATTACATTACATTACATTACATTACACTACATTACATTACATTACATTACATTACTACATACAAACATACATTACATACATACATACATACATACATACATACATACATACATACGTACATGCATGCATTACATACATTACATACATGCATACATTACATACATACATACATACAGACAGACAGACAGACAGACAGACAGACAGACAGACATACATATATACATACATACATACATACGAGAGAGGGAGATTGGGGAGAGAGAGGCTTGGGGGGATGGGGAGGATGGGGAGCAGAGGGAGGGACAGAGGACGACAGAACACACCAGGGACACAAGGGAGAGAGGAAGAAGGCTCTAAAGTTTATCCGTCCTGTTGGGGCCATTCCACCCGCCAATGGATGAACAAGAAGCAGGACACATGCACGCCAATGGGTCCAAAGAGCCTTTGACTGCTTCCAGCTCAATCGCTTCTTTACGAAGGTCAGTTGCTTGAAGGCTTTGCATGATGGCTTCTCCAGGTTTCCGAAATTGATGTCCCTAAGCAAATACATTCGGGCCACTCAAAAGATCACCTGTACCAGCCTATTGTGGTTTTGGATGTATGCTTTAAGGAAACCTGTGAGATGACAATGATTATTTCTCCTGGGCCAACGACTATCCCCCTCAAGCCCGCAGGGATCGGTCTGTCAGGCCGCCATTAAACAACACGGAATGCGTAATCACTGCGATTTCTGCCTCACACTGTAGCCCGTTTGTCGCACACCTAACTTAGATTGACAACGGAATGCGTATATGGAAACTACTCGCTTCTTCAACAGGACAGGAATTATTTAGTGTCACGTCCCTTCCAAATGGACCAAAGACTAGACATATGGGTAATAACACAAAACCTGATGGGTTCTGCCGTAACCTGCGACCGGTCTCTCTGCATTTTACAAATGGAAGGGTGAACAGAAAGCAACGACGAGAATCAGGTTTCTTTTTGCGTGGGACTCGTGAACATCCAACACAGATCGCCCTGAAGAGAGCAACACGAGTAGCGTGACGTGCTCAAAAAGGAGACTTGCGGTTTTCTTCGCACGGGAAAGAAACCACGGGCTCCTCCCCATAGGAAAGGGTCAACGGCGCTTCTTCAGAGGCCACAAATTGTGACATCCCGATTTTCTCCCCTTCTGGTTCGGCCATTGCTATTGGGAATAGCTTGCCCTGACCGAAAAAGAACAGAGCAAAACATGATTATCCGTTAGGGGGCAAGCCCTAAGGGCCTTGTGAGCAACCTGGGAAGGGACATGGCTGACGCGGTTGGGGGTGTCCTTCAATTTGTGGGCAGGCCCCCCCCCACCCCAGCTGGCCCACCCACGCCTCACCCTCCGGCCACCACGTCATGGCAAAGCACTGAATCAGCCGGTCTCGCTGGTTGGAGCCGAAAAATCTGAAGCACCCAATGAGTGCGACCACAGCTCTCGCTCGAAAGACGTTCACAGGTTTCAACCAGTGCCAGGAAAGAAATGTCACCTGGCAACCAAAAACCACCACGGAATTGACCGGAACAAATCCGCCGACATTGTTCGGCGTGTCGGATACTTACTAGAGGATAGAGGATAACCCCCCGGGGGGTCCCCCACGTACCGCGCGGCAATTTGATGACGTTCCACTAAACGGGGGCCGGTGTCGCAAAACAGGGGTCCCAGGCTCGATTCCCCCTGCCGGCTTTTTTGCTGGCTTGGGCTTCCTGCATCCTTTTGCCGAAAATCTGGAAAAACTCCGTGTTTTTGGACGTCCTCTTTGCGAAGACGCTGGAAACACCGTTTTTTGCGGGAAATACTGGGGAGCAAAGGGGAATTGCAAGGATATATACATACATACATTACATTACATTACATTATATTACATTACATTACATTACATTACATACATTACATACTTACATACATACATACATACAGACATACATACATACATTACATTACATTACATTACATACATTTCATTACATTACATTATCTTACATTACATTACATACATACATACATTACATACATACATACATACATACATACATACATACATACATACATACATACATACATACATACATACATACATACATACATACATACATACATACATACATACATACACATTACATACATACATACATACATACATACATACATACATACATACATACATACATACATACATACATACATACATACATACATACATACATACATACATACATACATACATACATTACATACATTACATACATACATACATACATACATACATACATACATACATACATACATACATACATACATACATACATACATACATACATACATACATACATACATACATACATACATACATACATACATACATACATACATACATACATACATACATACATACATACATACATACATACATTTACATACATACATACATACATACATACATACATACATACATACATACATACATACATACATACATACATACATACATACATACATACATACATACATACATACATACATACATACATTACATACATTACATACATTTACATACATACATACATACATACATACATACATACATACATACATACATACATACATACATACATACATACATACATACATACATACATACATACATACATACATACATACATACATACATACATACATACATACATTACATTACATTACATACATACATACATACATACATACATACATACATACATACATACATACATACATACATACATACATACATACATACATACATACATACATACATACATACATACATACATACATACATACATACATACATACATACATACATACATACATACATACATACATACATACATACATACATACATACATACATACATACATACATACATACATACATACATACATACATACATACATACATACATACATACATACATACATACATACATACATACATTACATACATTACATACATACATACATACATACATACATACATACATACATACATACATACATACATACATACATACATACATACATACATACAGACATACATACATACATACATACATACATACATACATACATACATACATACATACATACATACATACATACATACATACATACATACATACATACATACACATACAGACATAACATACATACATACATACATACATACATACATTACATACATACATACATACATACATACATACATACATACATACATACATACATACATACATACATACATACATACATACATACATACATACATACATACATACATACATACATACATACATACATACATACATACATAACATACATACATACATACATACATACATACATACATACATACATACATACATACATACATACATACATACATACATACATTACATACATACATACATACATACATACATACATACATTACATACATACATTACATTACATACATACATACATTACATACATACATTACATACATACATACATACATACATACATACATACATACATACATACATACATACATACATACATACATTACATACATACATACATACATACATACATACATACATACATACATACATTACATTACATACATACATACATACATACATACATACATACATACATACATACATACATACATACATACATACATACATACATACATACATACATACATTACATATACATACATACATACATACATACATACATACATACATACATACATACATACATACATACATACATACATACATACATACATACATACATACATACATACATACATACATACATACATACATACATACATACATACATACATACATACATACATACATACATACATACATACATACATACATACATACATACATACATACATACATACATACATACATACATACATACATACATACATACATACATACATACATACATACACATACATACATACATACATACATACATACATACATACATACATACATTACATACATACATACATACATACATTACATTACATTACATACATACATACATACATACATTACATTACATTACATTACATTACATTACATTACATTACATTACATTACATTACATTACATTACATTACATTACATTACATACATACATACATACATACATACATACATACATACATACATTACCATACATACCATACATACCATACATACACATACATACATACATACATACATACATACATACATACATACATACATACATACATACATACATACATACATACATACATACATACATACATACATTACATACATACATACATACATACATACATACATTACATACATACATACATACATACATACATACATACATACATACATACATACATACATACATACATACATACATACATACATACATACATACATACATACATACATACATACATACATTACATTACATTACATTACATTACATACATACATACATTACATACATACATACATTACATACATTACATACATACATACATACATACATACATACATACATACATACATACATACATACATACATACATACATACATACATACATTCATACATTACATACATACATACATACATACATACATACATACATACATACATACATACATACATACATTACATACATACATACATACATTACATTACATTACATTACATTACATTACATACATACATACATACATACATACATACATACATACATACATACATACATACATACATACATACATACATACATACATACATACATACATACATACATACATACATACATACATACATACATACATACATACATACATACATACATACATACATACATACATACATACATACATACATACATACATACATACATACATACATACATACATACATACATACATACATACATACATACATACATACATACATACATACATACATACATACATACATACATACATACATACATACATACATACATACATACACATACATACATACATACATACATACATACATACATACATACATACATACATACATACATACATACATACATACATACATACATACATACATACATACATACAGACATACATACATACATACATACATACATACATACATACATACATACATACATACATACATACATACATACATACATTACATACATACATACATACATACATACATACATACATACATACATACATACATACATACATACATACATACATACATACATACATACATACATACATACATACATACATACATACATACATACATACATACATACATACATACATACATACATACATACATACATACATACATACATACATACATACATACATACATACATACATACATACATACATACATACATACATACATACATACATACATACATACATACATACATACATACATACATACATACATACATACATACATACATACATACATACATACATTACATTACATTACATTACATTACATTACGTTACGTTACATTACATTACATACATACATGCGAGAGAGGGAGATTGGGGAGAGAGAGGTTTGGGGGGATGGGGAGGATGGGGAGCAGAGGGAGGGAGAGAGGACGGCAGAACACACAAGGCAGACAAGGGAGAGAGGAAGAAGGAGAAAAGGGAGAGGACAATGTCGGCGGACTGAGCCGGAGGCTCTAAAGTAAAAATCATGACTGGTCCATGGCAACTCGAAGCGTCCCATTGGACTCCCCATCTTCACATCGAACAAACCTCCCCATCGACCGAATCGAATGTTGAGCTGGCCCGGCGGAACTGAAGATCGAATCTAACACGCGCCACGGATTTCTTTGAGGGGGCCCTTTAGGCCTCATTTGGGGGATTTCAAACAACCAGAAACCACTGGATGTCCGCCGACATTGTTCGGCGTGTCGGTTACTTACTAGAGGATAGAGGATAACCCCCCCCCCTCAACCCCCGCCCGACGTCTATTACGTAGGTTTTTGTGGGGGGGGGGTCCCCCACGTACCCCGCGCGGCAATTTGATGACGTTCCACTAAACGTAGTCTTCGGGGAGCCGGTGTCGCAAAACAGGGGTCCCAGGCTCGATTCCTGCCGGCTTTTTGGCTGGCTTGGGCTTCCTGCATCCTTTTGCCAAAAATCTGGAAAAACTCAATGTTTTCGGTCGTCCTCTTTGCGAAAACGCAGGTAACCCGTGCTTTTTGCGGGAAATACTGGGGAGCCAAGGGGAAGTGCAAGGATACATACATGCATACAGTACATTACATTACATTACATTACATTACATTACATTACATTACATGACATGACATTACATACATACATACATTACATACATTACATACATACATACATTCATACATACATACATACATGCATACATGCATGCATGCATACATACGTACATACATTACATGCATTACATTACATTACATTACATTACATTACATTACATTACATTACATTACATTACATTACATTACATTACATTACATTACTTACTTACATACTTACATACATGCATACATACATACATACATACATACATACATTACATACATTACATACATACATACATACATACATACATACATACATACATACATACATACATACATACATACATACATACATACATACATTACATATACATACATACATACATACATACATACATACATACATACATACATACATACATACATACATACATACATACATACATACATACATACATACATACATACATACATACATACATACATACATACATACATACATACATACATACATACATACATACATACATACATACATACATACATACATACATACATACATACATACATACATACATACATACATACATACATACATACATACATACATACATACATACATACATACATACATACATACATACATACATACATACATACATACATACATACATACATACATACATACATACATACATACATACATACATACATACATACATACATACATACATACATACATACATACATACATACATACATACATACATACATACATACATACATACATACATACATACATACATACATACATACATACATACATACATACATACATACATACATACATACATACATACATACATACATACATACATACATTACATACATACATACATACATACATACATACATACATACATACATACATACATACATACATACATACATACATACATACATACATACATACATACATACATACATATACATACATACATACATACATACATACATACATACATACATACATACATACATACATACATACATACATACATACATACATACATACATACATACATACATACATACATACATACATACATACATACATACATACATACATACATACATACATACATACATACATACATACATACATACATACATACATACATACATACATACATACATACATACATACATACATACATACATACATACATACATACATACATACATACATACATACATACATACATACATACATACATACATACATACATACATACATACATACATACATACATACATACATACATACATACATACATACATACATACATACACATACATACATACATACATACATACATACATACATACATACATACATACATACATACATACATACATACATACATACATACATACATACATACATACATACATACATACATACATACATACATACATACATACATACATACATACATACATACATACATACATACATACATACATACATACATACATACATACATACATACATTACATACATACATACATACATACATACATACATACATACATACATACATACATACATACATACATACATACATACATACATACATACATACATACATACATACATACATACATACATACATACATACATACATACATACATACATACATACATACATACATACATACATACATACATACATACATACATACATACATACATACATACATACATACATACATACATACATACATACATACATACGTACATACATACATACATACATACATACATACATTACAGCACATTACATTGCATTGCATTGCATTACATTACATTACATTACATTACATTACATTACAGTACATTACATTGCATTGCATTACATTACATTACATTACATTACATTACATTACATACATACATACATTACATACATACATACATACATGCATACATACATACTTACTTACTTACTTACTTACTGACATTACATACATACATGCATACATACATATGTACATGCATGCATACATACGAGAGAGGGAGATTGGGGAGAGAGAGGCTTGGGGGGATGGGGAGGATGGGGAGCAGAGGGAGGGAGAGAGGACGACAGAACACACAAGGGAGACAAGGGAGAGAGGAGGAAGGAGAAAAGGGAGAGGACAATGTCGGCGGACTGAGCCGGAGGCTCTAAAGTTTGGTGGTTCCCTATCAAATCCACAGAATGAGTCCTGACGCTGTTGTAGAACCGGGTTGGAGAAACCTTGCATCATCTTATTCAGCAAATGGAAGATATGGGGACGCCTTACTTGAATGTGTGCACAACAACATGTTTAATACTACGAGGTTTAACTGCCCTACATTGGGTCCATGCAACTGGCTTGTTGGCTTTTCTGCACACACTTTTTCCATTCTTACATCAGGGCCCAAACATGCTAGGGATGCGTCTTTGAAATTCGGAGGATGGCAAACTCACATCAAATGGGTGTGTGTGTGTGTGTTAAAATAGGGATCTCTTACTGTTTTCCCTTGTTTCCCGTTTGCTTTCGTCAAACACCTCTCTACTGCTTTTGACACCAACCTCTCCGAGGGGGCAAGGAATGAAGTCATCTCTGGACAACGGCAATCAAGCGGCCCACTGAATCAGCTAAATACACAGGATGCAACAACCCCTCACCAAAAGCCTCGCCTTCACGAAGAGCTCCGTTCATACTGGGGATGCCACCAAACCTGGTCTCCATTTTGGATTTCTTCACCTGAATTCAGGAAACCCTCACGGACCTTCATCATGGGGGCGGAAACGCTGGTGCTTCCTGCGGATTGGTGAGATGGCCGTATTCTGTACAACCCCCACATGAGCCAAGCTCAAAATATTTCAATGCAGTTTCCACACAGGACATCAGAGAATTCGTGAGTCAGGGGTTCAAGTCACCAACTTGCAATCAACACTACTAATTTGTCGGGGTTATCCGAGAGTGCTCCGCTAGTCTTTTCTGCAGGCGCCGCGTGCCAGAGTTGGGTTCAGCCGGAAGTTTGGAGATAAATGCCAATGTGTTTTTTTTTTGGTGTGTGTGTGTGTGTGTGTCCGTGTGTCTGTGTGTCTGTGTCTGTGTCTGTGTCTGTCGCTGTGTCTGTGTGTGTTGCTTTGGAGTTGGTACCCTTTGCAGGTTTGTTTAAGAGGAAACCAATCAGAGCACCACCATTGCGGGCCCCCTATTTTGACCTTTACCCAACTCAAAAGGCAGGCGCACATGAAATCCTGAATACATACCTGACGTCCGCTCAGTCGTCCAAGCCAGTGACCGCCCAGGACAAATAGTCCTTAGAGCGGGTTCCGACACGTTCTGATTGCTTGACGGAGCAAACGGCCCGGGCCGCCGTTTGTGGTTTGATTTGAATGGAAAGCCAAAGAAACAGAAAGCCGAAGAAGAGGGGAAAGGGAGGCAACTATAAGAAACAGCCAGGTAGCTGAACTAAAACACTGCACCTCTGCCAGGGTGAAAGTTTCTGTCAGCAAGTACGGGGGCTGATGAAACCAACATGAGGAAGTGTGCCATCTACTTTTACCCCAAGGGGGAAAAAACAAACTCAACAAGATGGAAAGCTGAAAAAATACCAAACAAGCAGAAACAGATGAACTTGCGGTGAACGAGATCCACAAAAAGACTAGAACGCTGAAGACAACACCGAGTCTGTCTTAGAGTGGGGGGGTCACTTTTTGCATGGAATTTACGGGAACAGCAAGGAACACACACCCGTTTGGGTTTTTGAGGCAAACCCAACTGCGAACCTTTAAACACAGCGGGTCCCAAAAAAAGAAGCAGAGGCTGATACAGGCCGTTTCTGCCTTTCAAACAGATGATGAGGGCGTCTTTGAATACAGCTGATTGTATCTCGTGAAGAACTCTGCCACACCCCGCTAGCATCAGTCTGGCTTTTGGTTCTACCAACCTGGTTGCCAAGGTTGATACAAGACCGCGCCCATGAAACCAGGTAAGCCTACTAAAGCGGTCAATAACCATCGATTCGGGGCGATTCTCGATTGGCACCTCCCACGAACCCCAGCAAAAGGGTGTTTCGACCGTGGCACAAAGGAAACCCGCTGAAGACTGGGTTCTTCAATCGAGGGGATCCGTAATCCTAATCCGCAATGGGACACGACCACGAGGGAAGCCTGGGATAAGGTGGATGAATTTTGAACCCAGGTCAACAATTAGACCTGCTTAATCTTGGTTCTACCAAGGCATCTGTTTGTATGGCCCTTACAATACCCCATCCAAACCAGAAGATAGATGTCCTAAATTGGCCAAAGGCGGATCGGTGGGTTCTGCTCAAGCGGCACCAGGACCCGTGTTTTTCTTCTGGGAGAAGTTGAGTGAGTTCCCTTCACGTTACATGAACCTTTGACTTCTGGACATTTGACACCTGTGGCTGATTTGTGGGGGGGTGGACCTTCCTTTTGACTCCAAGGCCACCCTTATGCACGTGCAATCTTTCGAGCCTGAAGCCTCAATGTGTGCTCTTTTTTTGGTGCAAATCTAGGGGCAAAGCATCCTGTACTAGGTCCTCCAGAGAGAGGTTAGAATAAGGGTACCCTGTTTATCTTAGTAGGGGAACCCAAAAACCCCAAAAAGTGGCTGAGAAAGGGCACCTAGCTGGGGGACCCAGTGTATTTTGGGCCTCCTGAAATGAAAAAACATCAACTTTCACCCGACGCCTCGCCAGGCGTCTGAGCTCTTGGGCATGCGCGTCCTCCAAAAGCCCGAGGGCCCGTCCAGGGCTCGCAGGAAGGAGGGCACTTGCTGGTCCTCCCCGCGGCTCGGGAGCAAACCGCGCTCGCCAAAAGCCACGTGCCTGGGCAAGGGGACTGACCCCATTCACCCAGCCAGAGCAATGGCTGGAATTACCATGCTTACTCTAGAATGTACAATGGGGCTGAACCCATTCACCCAGCCAGAACCATGGCTATAACCTACTTGCTAAGTTGGGTGCGCATCCAAGTAGAGCTTGCCAGGGATTTCCTTCTGCTTTGTACACGGCGGGTTTGGCCATCTGGTAAAGACTCCGAGGCCTTTACTTGCTTCAACGAATAGAAAGGGCAAACAAATGATCCGTGGTTGCCAACAAAAGGACAACTGAAAGCCCATGTCCTGCGCCGGCATGTTCCTTTCAGTGATATTCCGAGATCGGCAGGGGCCAAGTTTCCATGGCAAGAACAAACATATTTCTAGTGGTGTTCAGTAGGGATAGATTCACTGTAAAACCAGCAGGGGAAAATAAGAAGTGTTCTTAAGCAAATGGAAGAACACAATGCCAGCCCCTGAGAGGGGGAACCCAAAAGACCACCCCCAACATTCCGCCAACTTCACCTTTGACCATCCCGAGGCCAGATCGAGCCGGATCGAGCCGTCTCTGTTTGGGCATAGTTTTTTTTGGTCTCAAGGGCCCTTGATCCTCACATTTTCTGCTATGGTTGTCAAGGGCCCTTTTGAATAGGGGCCCAATCCCGATCCCACTAAGGCCTGGTAGGGGCTTATAGGCTTCCTTTCGGCTGCCGTTCTGTTGATCTTTGGGAGCCACAACCATGGTTCTGTGTCATCTTTTCAGCTTACAACCAATTGGCGTGGCTTGCTGGTTTGGAGTACAGGGGTACCTTCCCCTTTTACAGGTACCGGGGTTCAAATCTCCAAACCAATCCAAATCACCAACGAAGGGAGTCGTATTTAGTCTACCCCCCCAAATAACCAAAAATCCGGTTGGAGGAGACCCCGTCGCTTTCGCCCAGGGCTGTGGGAAGTGACCACTTCTGTGATACAACAAAAAGGGCTTCCCAAAGACTAACCCCCCATAAGGGAGAGATTCCCAAAAGTATCACAGAAGTGGTTGGAAAAACCCCTTGGCTCAAATCCTCAAACCACCAATCCAAATCACCAAGGGTGATGTCGTATTTAGTCTACAAATCCCCAAATAACCCAAAAACTCCGTGAGGATTGAGACTTCGTGGAACTTTCGCCCAAACTCCAAGGCGCCACATGCCAGACATCGCCTGGTCCAGTCCGCAGCTCGCGCTCGACTCAATCTCCTCGAGGAACCGGAGCCGTGCCACTGAGCCGCGCAGGCGCTTGGAGCCTTGGAGCGACGCCCATCGACTAGGTCCTCCAGTAGAGGGGATAGAAGAAGGCCTCCAGTACCACCTGTTTTTTCTTCTTCGGTAGTCTACTTTAGTGGGGGACACCCAAAAACAAAAAAACAAAAGGTAAAAGGAACCTAGTCGACCAAACATCGATCAGGGACTGCCGCCACTTCGGACCACTGAAAGGTCCAAAAGGGGCACATTGTGTCCTGTGCGATCCGCTAAGACATGACACCCACAGGCTCCAAAAGGTCAAACGCTCGGCTTTGGTTGCAACTGAGTTGTTAAAAGGTGCCATGCGTAAAAAAACTGCCAGGGTCAAGACTCCGCGGGTGGTCGTGGACTTTTCCTAAGGAGGCCAGGACCGTCCCTGCCAGTTCCAGGTGCGGGTGAATGTTTTTGGGGCAAGGAAGCTGGAGATCGGTGGTATGAATTTTAATTCGGGACCCTTTGGTGAACATCATGTTGGTGGGGATTCACACCCGCCATTCATTTTTGAGGGGACTCCGTATTAAACATTATAGGCATACGACGCAGAATCTGAACATATGACTTTCTGTGCGCCAAGAAGGCTTGCTCAAAGGGCCGTTGATGTCACAAACCCAAAAAGGGATGCTTCTGCGGCCTCTACAAAGAGTGGCTGCCGTCCAGCAACTCACCACAAAGTAGGGCTCTTCGTAGCCCAGCACATTGCCCTGAACCTGACGAGATCAAACAAACCCCGGCGAAAGTGTGCCATGCCCCCCCATCTTTATAGCGATTCTGGCGACTAAGAAGGCCTTTCGTGGGGTGAGGGTGGTGGTGGTCCCTCTTTGATGGGGTCACCTATCATCCATGCGGAATTGTTAAGGGCCCACTGAATTGGATTGGGGTTTGGTGCCTCAAAACCAAATTGAGACATGAACATATCATAATAATGCTCGAAGAGTTTGATGATTTAGCCCCATGTTATGAAATTGAGTCAGAGTTGGTCACGGTGACGCAAGGTCATTGAGCAAAAAAATGATCATCAACTCAAATTGGTCTCTGTGGCTTGGGCAACTATGACATCCATTTGCTTAAGACCTCTGAACAAATAAAAATATTGCCACTAGTGATAGATTCCCTTTAAAACTAACAGGGGAAAATAATAATAATAATAATAATAATAATAATAATAATAATAATAATAATAATAATAATAATAATAATAATAATAATACTACTACTACTAATAATAATAATAATAATAATAATAATAATAATAATAATAATAATAATAATAATAATAATAATACTAATAATAATACTAATAATAATAATAACAATAATAATTATAATTAAAAATAATAATAATAAACATAATAAAAATAAATAACAATTTTTTAATAATAATAATAATAACAACACATCATGACTGGACAGTGAGACATGTTACCTCAGCCCGGTGCCGAAACGGGGACCAGCGGGTGCCGAAACCTTTTGGGTAGCTGAGCTTTAGGAGACCCTCGCCAAGGAGCAAGCCGCCGCGCTTGGCATCTGACGGTTTTTGGGTTTTGAACCAACTTGGAGTGGCCTACGCGGAGAACTGTCACAGGCCTTTGACAGGCCTTAGCCGTCCCAATGCTTCCGCGCAAAAATAAGAAGAAGCAAAAAACGCAACAACCTGGAGCTGCAGAAGCCGCCGGTTTGCTTCTGGCGCGGAAATACGTCTTGGTCTGGTTGGTGATTGCTAAATGGCGAGTAACCCCAGTTATACCCAGACCCCAATGACTCGTTTTTTGGTAGTTCATTGTCAAGTGGAAAGGGAAACCTTTCCGAAACAGAAAAAGATGGAACAACACGGCACCACTGGGTTTCTGGGCGCACGGGTTTTAAAAAGGGGCTAGCTTGAGGTTCACTGCGCCACCTGACCGTGAGTACTTCGCCATACTTCGCCACTTGAAAGGGGCATAGCCCGTAATCAGGAGACTCACTGACTGCCATCTGCTCAAGCCCCCTGGAAAAAATAATATTTGCAGTAGTGATAGATTCCCTTTAAAACCAACAGGGGAAATTAACACATAGTCTTCAGCAAATGGAAGCTGATAAGGCCACTCCTGGTTACTGTTGACCCGGATTGGCCAGGTGTTTTTGTTCCACGGGAATTTGGCAATTTGTTGAAAGGCACCCCCAGCTGCCCCGAAAAAGTCAAGCCACCGAAACCCTCTCTTTTGCCCGACGTCGAATAGCAGGACTCCCAAGCGCGTTTGGGCCCCTTCAGGGGAGATGGGCTCCTTTTTTTTAAGTTCTTCTTTTCTTCCGGTGTCATCCTCAGTTCATACCCGCTCAGCTTCCCTCGTGGTGTGGAGCTTGGTTTGGGGGCTTGAACCTGTGGGCAAATGTCTGGTACTACTTCCTTACCGCCAAAAACCACCGGGGTAAAGGAAAGCTGCACGGCGGTCCTTGCGGTACTTGTTTTGGGTGGCTCGAAGAAAGGCCTCTTGCTTTTCCAACCCCTCTATTCAGCACCTGGCATTTTAGGACCCGCGGCCATGAATTCGAACCTTGAACTCAAACATGGTTGGCCCAGGGCATACACTTCGAGCGGGTTCTTTTGAAGTCCCCCTGGCAGTTCTGCAGCCCAACATGGACATTTCCAATTAAAAAAAAACACGCTGCCCCTCCCCCCCCTCCCCCCCCCAAAAAAAAAAGAAGAAGAGTATAAACATGGAATGCCAACCCCCAACCAAAACCCGGGCCACTCGGCCCGTTTTCGGCGCGTTCGGTTCGGCGCATTCGTCGCCTGGAAGTGCTGCAAGATGCTGCGCTGACAGGGAGACTTCGGCTTTGGCGCCGGCCTCGAGATGCCCAGCGCCAGGAACTCCACCTCGAGGGTCCTGAGGAATCCGCTCGAGAGCTGCACAGTGCAGTGTGCCCTTTTCATAGGCGGCCCCCAAAAACCTCTGGTGGGTTTTCCCCGTGGTTTTCGTTTTAACGCCAACAGAAAAGGGGCCTCAAAAAAAAGAAGAGACACCAAAGAAAAGAACCGACACGAGTTTGGGGCATTGTGGACATGTGTGTGTGCCGTTGGTGGTGAGGGTGCACCAGAACTCGTTTTTGAGCGGCAGCGGCCTCAGCAGGAGGAAACGGCCAGAAGTGGCAATCAACCACCAATGCCGCTTGTTTGGGTTGTTTTAGAAGGGAAAGAACAAGGACAGGAACGTTTGGCCAAGGGGCCAAGAAGAAGACCCCCTGAAAAGGGCTTCCGCATAAGTGCTGCTGTTTGTTCCAGTGTTTGCTTGGTTGACCACATGCTTTTCCATTTGGAAACCAAGATTGAATCCCCGAACCTTGCCCGTCTGCAGCACACCAAGCCCTTTTGACTCTGAAGCTACCAACAGGTTTATCCAGCCCTTCAACCTCCCTGACAAAAGAAGAGGGGTAGCCTACAAACTTTTGTGCACAGGTGAAATCAAAAAGCTGACACTAACTCACCCGCCTGACGAGTGGGTTTGGGTCTAAATAGGTGATATCCCAGCTTGCCGCCCTCTCCCCACGGTGTGTACATTTTGATACGTCTCTGGGCTGTCCATTTTCAGATCCTCTGCGAAAAGCTCCACTTTTAGTGGGTTAAATTTAATAACTCCCCACTAAACCCTAAAAAGCTGACAAGCCGAGGAACCGGATGGCTGGAAACCAGGTTTGGTCCAAGTGGACGAACCTTTGTTTCCAGGCAATCCGCTGCAACAAGGCTTAGGTCCAACCCAAGCTCCAACCCAAGCACGCCCGCCCGTCCTGCTGGCCAGGCTTTTCCAGACCAAGCTCTGTAGCTGCCGCTCCGCTTCAGATGGGGCCGGCGGCAAAACCTCACGGAAGATTCTTTGCGCGGCTTCCGGTTCTCCATTTGCTCTACATGAACCAGCAACAAAAAATCCAATGAAAATCCAAAACGAATTGAGGGTTAGCTGTGGGCGTTGGTGCCTGCACTGGCCCTCAGCTGAGGGGTCTCTCCTCCGTCGTCAGTGTTTTGTGGCTTTGCTCACCTTCCCGAGTCAGACAAGCTCATTTGAGACCCGAAACGCCATTCTTGGTGTAAGGGAAGGCCTGGGTCTGTACGATGTACCACAGCAACAATGACATCACCTTGCTAAACAACTCACTTCCTGGGTGGATGGGCCACAACAAGTCTGTGTGTGTGTGTGTGTCACTGAAACCGTCTTCCCAATCACTTGGCTGACCGATGAGGCCGAGGGATCACTCATGGAGGCTGAAACCCGGGCCACACGACTCGTTGCGACTGGGGACCTGCAAAAAGCGACTTCTCCTGGCTACGGGGAAGACGTTTTCGGCTTGCCCGCGGAGAACGGAAGGAGCTCGTTTCCGGGTTTGCCTTTGATCAACGACCCAAGGGTTTTGAAGGCTTACGGGTGAACTGGGGGTTAACCACTTAGCTAATTCAGAATTGCTCCAACTGCATTTTCAAAGCTGTGCAATCGGAGCTCTCTTTCCAACACGCACCAATGCCCCGTGAAACAGGGGGAATTACCTCTGATTCGTCCGGCCTTTTCGAGAGTCTGAGCGGGAACTTGACGGTACGCCACCAGTTTGCACTCTTGGTGGTATTGGATGGGAAGACAGTGAGTACCCATTGGTCTGGGGAACCTCTGCTTGGCATAAGGGCCTACATTTATTTAGGTCCACCAGTCGAGAGGTTAGAATGAGGGTACCCTTTTTTCTGTAGTCTATTTTAGTAGGGGAACCCTCCCCCAAAAAAAGGGGTAAAAGGGCACTACTGGATGACCTAGACATGATTATTAGTTTACTCCTCCATGACTACTTCTGGTTTTTAGGTGGCATGTGAATGTCAAAGATGGTGGATCCCGTCACAAGGACCTCCAGTTATTTTGAACCACCAAAACAGAGAACTACCCATGAACTACCCCGGTTCAACCCAGACCTCCGGTAGTCATAGCACAAAGGGCCACCGTTTTGTTCGGTGATTTTAAAGGGGAGGCTTCTCCAAAAAAGGAATGGAGCACTATCCACAGGCCCGGGTCGCTCAACATCTTTGCAACCCCGCAAAGAACCAAAGGGCACTTCGAATCTGAAACAGGGTTCGGCGCCCGTTGACTCGTTGGCATATTCTCCGATTTGCCTTTTCGGGCTAGAAGCACCCCCTACCCCTTTAAGAAGATCCAAACCCCGACAGCCCAACCCCCCAACAGCCCAACCCCCCCAACCCGACCACGTGGTCTCAGCGACCAAGACGAAGCTCGAGTCCAAGCCGTAGTCCAGCAAGTGCCGCAAGATGATCTTTGATCTCGCGGGCTGAACCTCCTGCAGCCCCGCGGAGGCCCACTACATATGGCTGGGGGTCAAAATTTAACCATATGGCTGTGGGTCAAAACTTAACCACCAGGGGACCGCAAATACTTCATGTTTTCCATTTGCCAGGGTGGAATTTTGGGTACCCATTTTTGACCCGCAGCCATAGAAAGCAAGTGAACCAACCACATCCAACCACAAAACCAGGGTAAATATGCAGACAACTAGTGTTTTTCTCCTTGTATCCTACTTGCACAATGTAGGGCATCAACTATGCTGGGCCCATTTTAGTAGGACATTCTCAAGATGACCTGAGCTAAACGGTGGTTTGAAGGAGAACTACCGGGACCCAACAGTAATATTAGAAACTTTCGAAGCAAACAAATCCAATATAAAAAAAGTTGTTCAGATACACATATTCTAATTAAGCAATCTAAATACAAGTCCAGAACTTTAGCCGACTCAGCCCGTCCTTTGCAGCTGGTCGACCAATCCTTGTCACCTTGCATAGCCCCACCTCCTCCAGTGCTTCATGACCTTCGGAGCACATCTCGTATATGAACAACTTGCTCGGCACGTTGGCCTTGCTTGCCCAAGAGAAACGAAACTTGGACGCTCAACCAGCTTGCTAAGTATAGGCTATGAGCATGGTATTAGGGGGAGGATCACCCTAGTTGCACCAGTAACCATGCTTACAACCTACTTGCCTGACGTTGGTTCATCATCCAAGACAACCCCCCCGTTCAAGTAACCAGTCTCTGGGTCATCCGCCGAAGAATGAACTCAGTTCGAGAAGCCTTGAGACTCCCTTTTGAATTGACCAAACGAAACATCAGTTTGACAGTCTCCTGCCACTTGCCCAGTTCGCACCTGGAATTGCCAAGGGTGTCGTTGGAAAACCTTCGCATGAGTTGGGGAAAAAAAACAACAGCAAACACACCCGCAGGGTTTTGACGGCGAAGCTTTGGTGCCAAATTTTCAGGTTCACCCCAGTTGCCCAGTGGCCCGAAAGGACGAACAATTGCCAGTTCGTTTCGGGGTTGCCGATTTTACGTGGAGAGTCCCCGAAAGGGTCAACACGAGTGCGTTGAGGACAGCGACAACAACTGCGCTTCATGTTGGTCACATGAAGAAAGCCACTAGGTGTCAACAAAGAACTTGGGATATGCTCTTGCCCCTTGGTTTGGATGTTTGGAAGCTTAAGATCTTTGTGTAGCGAGTCTCCTGAAAAGGTGTGGCATGCGTTGACCATTTTGTGCGGAGAATCAGTAAACCAAAAAGGACACACTGTGGAATCCAAACGACTGGGCGGAACGAGCGGCACAAGCCTCCTTGGTTGAATTTGCATCGACTCCCCATGTCACACCCCAGTTGACCGTGGCTCGGAGTCGATTTGAGGAGGATTCTCCCGACAAGGGCGCGATGCTCAAAGAAAGGATATGGGAAAACCCAAGAGTCTTGGCTTTGGTGTGGGTCTTTTTCTCGACTCCCCATGTCTATCAGACCCAATTGACGTGGGTGCTTCTTTCAGACTCCGTGAGTCCGTGAGCCATCCGAGTAGCTAAAGAAAAGAACCAAATTATCAAGGGGAACTGGCCTTATTCTTCTACCATCAAAGTCACCCCCGAAGCGGTGGGTTAAAGGGAAACAGTCCCATTTTCTGACTTTGATGACCCCCATAAACCGTCAAAAACATGACCGCAGGGGAACTCGAACGGAGTACACCACCTTCTTCGGAGTCCAAGACCCTTATTTTCACCACCTTATTTGGAGTCCAAATCCTATTTTGAGACACACACACAGACACACCCATCGTTTCGGTCGAGCAGCCAGGACCTCCATCCACCACCCCAGGTCTTCGTGGCATCGGCAAATCACCGCCTCGATGCGGAAGTCGCTGTCCCGCGCGGCGGCGGCGGACTGCGCGGCCAGATAGGTCTCCTGCGTGGTCGAAGCAACCGGGGGGCAGCAGGCCTGAAACTCAAGGCTCACTGCATGCGCTTGAAGAATCTACTTGCTTTGGCTTCCTGGGTAAATGGAATATGTTGCCTTCTCCCCTCCAGTGAAAAGCCAACCGGGTTGATTTCACATCCCAACACCAAGGGACCTTGTTATAGGGAGCTCGCACCGCGAGACCCCCTCCGATAAAAGATGTTGCCATTTCACCCCACAATGACCTCTGGGTTCAACTTGCCACCCAGCAAAAGTTGGGATGCAGGTGAAAGACAAATGGAGCCGCAGAATGAGAGGAACAAAACAACGCCTGGGCTGCTTTGTTTGGACCTCGGCAAATCCAATCAGAACCGCCAGTTCTCTGCACCTGGCTTTCTGGACCTCTACTGCAATAACAACGCAGGTTGAAGTGCAAGGCGGCCACGTTGCCATCAAAACTACATTCATATGCACATGTTTACTCTACTGAGCAACTAAACGCAGTAGAAACACATCTGCCCAGTGTTTGCACCAATAAGCCAAGCAACCAAGCCCAGCCGCTAAAACAAACTACCGTCAGATGGGATATCACTACCTGGAATGGGAAAGGATTGCAGGGTGCGGAATATCAGTTTTTTTTCTCCTTTGGCTTTGCTTTAAACCAATCCCAAAAAGGTACCATTAGCCTCAAAATACCCATAAACATGGGTCCAGGTACCCGCATGGCTTCCCCTTACAACAATCCCCAAAATTTGCCTGCACCCGCAAACTCGCCAAACAAAAAGGGAAGTCACCCCTTTTTTTTTAGGGCAGTTCCCCATTTTGACGGGAATTGTGTGGGTCCAGGCACACGGATGGCTTAAGCTCATTCCGACTCATTCCCCGAAGACGATCCCAAGCTCCTGGAAGCGCCTGGCCGCCACATCCAGGGGCCAGGTCGCAGACAGCGCCTCAAGTCCCACCGCCTTTTGGGTGAACGTGGCGTGGTTTCAAGGGCGACCTAAAGGAAAGCCACATGGATGGCTCGGTTTTTTGTTTGTTTTTGTTTTTCGTTTGGAGCCCGCAACAAGGGTGCTGGTTTTCCTTTTGGCTTCCTTCGAAACCACCTCCCCCAAAAAAAGGGTCCCCTCAACAAACATTCATGCCCCCCTATTTTGGTTGGGTTCCGATTCCTATGACCCGATCAAGGCGCATGGCCCCAGAAGACTTGAGCCCGTGATGTTTGGACGCGACTCAGGTGGATGCCACCAGTCGAGCCTCAGAGTTGCTGCTTCCATCAGTCGAAATGGTACCACACTTCTGCTTAAAAACCAGCCTCCAGCCCAACCAGAGGCCAGCATTTCTCACATGCCTTCCGACATGTTCTGACCAAAAGGACCTTTTTTGGCCTTGCCAAACAAGTGCCACCTCACAACCAGGAGGTGAAATGTGTCCACCATAACTGGTGGCCAAATTGTCAACTGGTGCCATGATTGGCGGATGTCAAACGGATGAACCCGTCCTGTTGCTTGACAGTCATGTTTTCTTCTTTTTTTTGTCCATTAGTGATGGAGATTTCCTTTGAAGCTAAAAGGGGAAACATAATAACACATCTTAGGCAAACTTCATGAAACCAGATGGGATTGGATTCAAATCAGGAATCATCCAGAGGCACCCAAGCCGTAGGTGGCAGGTCACCCACTTACAGGTGCGTCTCAACATCGTTGAGCCTCAAAATGGTAACGACCCCTTTTTAGGGTTTCCCTGTAAAGCCACCCAAGAAAAGGCAACCCTAGACGAAGGAGGGAAATTCATGTGTACGTGGACCCCCCTGCAACAAGTGGCCACTTTTCGCTGGTCTGGGAAATCGAGGGCAAGCCCGAAAAAGCCTCCTAAGACGAGTTACCCTCCCTCCAATCGGACCTCTTCCTTTGTGGAAGCCCCAAAACGTCCACTTCCAGGAATGTTGGAACACGGGTAAGTAAGCCTTTTGCAGCGGAAGCTCCTGTTGAGACACCCCCTATGGGTCAAAATAAAATCAAGAGAAGTGGCCCGCATGTTTTGGTCTTTGGCTCCATTTACAAGGGCTTCATTTTGGGTACGCATTTTTGACCCACAGCCACATAGGAATCGGACGCCCCCCCAAAAAGGGTGGTTTCATTTTGGTTGCCCTTTAAAACAACCACCAAAAGGAGGGCTCCAAAAACGACACACCCAGGATATCATCCATTGAAACAATGGGGACTATAACCACCAAAAAACAAACCCTTCGCCTCAAAAAAGACGTGCCAAGTGTCATGGAGTCCCGTGTTATGGAGTCCAGGGAAGGGAGGATTTTCCCAAGGCTTAAGGCAAAAAGGGGAACCCTAACTAGGTCCTCCAGTAGAGACGTTAGAATAAGGGTACCAGCTTTTTTCTGTGGTCTATTTTAGTAGGGGAACCCTCCCCCCAAAAAGATATGGTAAAAGGGCACCTAGCTGGGGGACCTAGCTAAGGACCCCGAAAGGGGCTCTCAACTAGCCACCCCTTCCGCACCTACGATGGGATTCGAGAACCTCCATTGGCTTCAGTCCCCTGAGAAAACATGAGAGAATATGTCCAGTGAAATCGATTCCTGTTGAAACTCATGGGGGAAAACAACATTTCAGCAAATGGAAGCTTACCAGCGGGTGCTCGATTCGCCTAACCTCGGGGATTCCCTAAGGCTCCCTAACGAACCCAACAAAAATCCTAGGGCTCTCAACTACCCACCCCATTGCACAGCACCCCCCCCCCCCGGCTGGGATTTCATGAAAGTGGCTCATGTCCCATTTCAACCACCCCCGCCTGCAACACCTCGGGCTGCACTTGCCGCGTGTGTTGCATGGCCTGAGCCGCCAGCTGCGCGGATTCCCCGAGTTTGGAGGCGCCGTCCATGTGCAACAAGGCCTCTCCGTAAAGCAGGTTCGCCTGAGCGGTAAGTCTGTCCGTCTGAGGTTTATCAAAAATACGTCCCGGTGGTTTCCCTTTCAACCATTTAGACAGTAAGTTTGAGGATGTTACCTTCATGGACACAGTTAGTGGGTGGGTAGTGGCTGGTTCTTCTGCAGGTGGTAGTGGTAGCTGAGGTTCTGAGCAATTTCAGCGCTGCTTAATCATTGGAATGAGGAGCTTGTGGGGTCCTTCAAAAGATAGCCACTGGGTGTACACTTATGTAACCCCTCAAATTGACCCTGGGTGATTTATCCCAGTATTCATAGGGTTTCATCCATCCCAGTTGGTGCAAATTTTTGTCCGTCCACACTATTTCTGGTTGGGAATGCTCCCGACCAAACTTCACCTACCCTGCATTTGATTGTGGCTGCGTTGGCCTTTTGGACTGGTTCGGCACCGACATCGTTACTCAAATTCAATTGTACATCACATTACAGAACTTAAATTGCATCACCCTTTTAATGTGCGTTTTTGGAGTTGGGTACCCTTTCTGGGTTTGGTTTCCCTGCAAATGCCAACCCTTGCAATAAATTGGGTCCCCTATTTTTGAGACAAACCACATACTTACATAGTCGGGCGTTCGCATGGTGACTGCAACCGTACCTCACTTCCGATCGACTGGATTGGCCAAACAAAGTTAATATCCACCCAGGAGTAATGATCCCCTATTTATTAATGTGGGGCTGTCCTTGGTTCTTCTGGAGGGGTTTATTTATCCCGGGTACATTAATCCGGGTCAACAGAAACAATCGTAGTCCACCTTAGACAGAGCACGAGAGAAAGAGAGAGAGAGAGAGAGAGAGACGGGTTTACGAAAAGCAGGGGCCTGTGGGGCGGGCTCAAAGCCACCAACTTTGCGATAGCCCCCGTCGGGGAGCATCGAATGAGCAACCAAGCTCTGGCTGCCATTCAAGAGAAACCAAAAAGAGGCTTGAGCAACACTTGTCCCCCCCCCCCTTTGCTCACCAAAAGTCAGATTATCAGATTCGGTTGCGTATTCCTGAGCGGATTGGCCAACCAGGTCCGCACTTGTTGTTTACCACTAACATGGGCTTCACGGAAAACACGAGTCCAGGAGCCCATGAGCAAGACACATTTCAACACACCCTATGGTGGATGGACGAAATCCTGCACCACCCCAACAAACCCTGGAATGGTGATTTCCCTGCCAGTTCCAACAAACAATGGTTTCCTATGGTCTCAAAATGGTGTAGGACTCTGTCCATCCACAGTATGACCAAACAAATGAAACCAAGTAGAAACCGAGCGCCACGCTTCGATTTGCTGACGCCCGCTGGAAAAAAAATATTTCCAGTAGTGAAATCGATTCCCTTTAAAACCAACCAGGGGAAAAGAAAAAACACAAATTCTTAAGCAAACGGAAGCATGGCGCTCGGTTTCTAGGTGGGTTTCATAGGATTGGTCAGACTGTGGACTGTGACTCCTACACCACTTTGAAACCAGAGGAAACCATTGTTTGTTGGAATTTGTAGGGAAATCACCATTCCAGGGTTTGTTGGGGTGCAGCAGGATTTCGTCCATCCACCGTAGGGTGTGTTGAAATGTGTCTTGCTCATGGGCTCCTGGACTCGTGGTTTTGGTCTTCGCAGTTCTCCACTCGCTCGAGGCGCCAGGATCTGCATCGGCGGGCACTCGTCCAGCGTGCGGTGCTGGAAGTGGTCCGGGGAGGTCAAGAGCCACATGGCCTCCTCCAGAGGAGGCCGGCCTCAGCGTGTGAGGTGAGGTCTTCCTAAGAACTCGCATTTTTTTGGTTTTTGCAGGCTCTACCCCAATGAAACCAGCTAGAGTAAGTTCTTGGACAGACTTTGGGGTCCTAAGAACTCGCATTTTTTTGTTTTTGCAGGCTCAATGACCCCAAAACCCGCTTTATGGTTCTTGGGGTTTACTGAGCTGAAACAAAAGGATGACCGTTTGGGGTGACCAAAAATTGACCCAGGGGGTCAAAGGCTCGATTCGCCTTTGGGCTTTGGTGAGTGGAGGCTTCACTACCCCAATTAAACCAGGTAAGCCAACAAAGGTTTTGAGCTTTGAGTGCCACTGACATGCATAGAGCGGTCTTTGTTTTTGTTTTGTTTTGGGGGGGGGGGGCGGCACTGTGTGAATCATAAGAGCATCATGAGTGCAAAGCGCCACTCATGGTGTGGTATATGGGAGGGACGGGTAAACCAATGAGATCCAGGGCGTAAACGATTCGAATAGGTTTGTGGGCTACTGTCAAAATTGAGCCATAATGATAGGACCAAGACGTTGGGACCATTCCTCCAATCCTCACTATTTTGCTGGTTGAGATGTCTTTTTCCCTTCTGTGCCCATAACAAGTGACTTAGGTTACAAACTACTTGTAAATCTTGCAAATGCAGTTCGCCCAGGTTGTAAATAGGTTGCCGAGGGGTACTCCGTAAGAACTTACCCACTTGCTTCTAGGTGAGGTTAGAATAAGTTGGTACCCTTTTTTCTGTAGTCTATTTTAGTAGGGTCCCGAACGGACCTAGGGGATTCCCGAGCGAGCCATCAATTGGACGTCGTGGAGCCGTCTCCTTCGTAGTGCTGCAGGATGAGGCGTTGGAAGTCGGAGCCCATGACACGGAAGTCCTCGTTACATCTCCCCGCCTGAGCAACTGCCGAGCGGCTGGCTTGAAGCTTTGGTCGGTGGGTGCCCTTTTTGGGAGTTGGTTTAAGGGGAAACCAAGAGAAATTCAAACCATCTTGGAACTTTGTGGATGCCCTATCTTGAGACACACCCCAATGTTGCAACGGGAACAAGTTGGAAACACGCGGATGTTCGTATTTACCGCGTCTTTGAAAGGTCGGATGTGGTTGTTTTACTTGCAATACTTGGGGCATCCGTCGTACCTCAGTTTTGGCCCCAACTAAAAATGTGATGCTTGAGTTTGGCTGGCAACATCATGTGGTGCCACTGTAGTTTCTTGATTTTGGGAAACCATTCAATGATCATTTCTAGACCAGCTATGGTCTCCAATAGATCGCCTTTTGAATGTTCAATTGGGAATGCAACACTCACCATCAGAAAAGAAAACACACACGATGGTGTGGGGGCCGCTTAATGGCGAATCCTGGTTACAAGGCTTGATTAGGGTGGTGCTAACTGGGGCATTGGCGTTTACTAGGGCTCACTAACCACTCTGCTAACTCCAATCACTTGGAGTGTTGTCATGCACTCTGGTCTCTTTTTTTGGGGCTTTGAACAGCCTTGCACTATATAACCCACATCCATGGTGTGTAGAACAAGGGAAACAAAAAGGGGCTAACCCATTTCTTCTGCTATCCGACTTTGGCGCGAAAGTACCCCACAACCCGAGTCTCGTTCCATTTCATCCGAGACCGCCAGTGGCCATGGGGAAAAAAACTCGGCACTTTGTTGGTGGATTTCCAAATTGGCGCGACCTAGAAGGTTGAACAAGGGGTCTCAGGGCCAAGTACATTGAGGCCAGGGCTATGCGCGGTCTCCGCGAATCGGTTCAAAACCGAACCAACTAGAAACTGCAAGCGGGGTGGTACCACCCTGGTTGCTTCTTTTTGATGGCCCCCTTGTTGAGTTAGGTGTCTTTTTCTGGTTCAAAACTATAATTCCCCGAAGAAAGGGAACGGAAGTGGGCCCTTGGGGCAAGTATTTTGAGATTATTATACCCCAAGAAAGTCCGTGGGCCCTTAGGTTAATTATTTTAACACAAATAAGATATCCGCTGATGCCCGGGTGCCCCGCAACTTGGCCCGGCGCGGCCCGGCGCCTCCATCTCCCTCTGGGCCTCTTCCGGGCCCAGCGAGGTGTCGCAAATCACGTAGCCGATGCGGTAGGTGAAGTAGCACCTCAGTACGCGACGCCTCTGTGTCCTTTTTGGAGCCTGGGTGGGTTCTCTTGGTTGGTTTGAAAGGGAAACCACAAGGAAACCCGAAGCGATTTGAGACACACCAAGTGATTTTTTCTCGGGATCTGAGTTGCAAGAAGGGTGCCCAAGAACCCATGTATCAGTGCAACATCATTTGTACGCGCTCCCAAAACGGTGTCAAGCAGCGCAGGCGCCCCGTCTAGCGTAACAATCAGATCTATCTCTCTGACTCTCTCTCTCTCTCTCTCTCTCTCTCTCTCTCTCTCTCTCTCTCTGTATCTTATATATATATATATCATGTGTGGTAGATCACCAGCTGGATCTTCTTTTCATCATACTCCATGGTAGCTGCCCTTGCTTGTGCCAATGGACTGTCGGTCAACTTGTGTGTCATTTCGGAGCCCTTCTTGGTAACCCTTCCCAGTTTAGGGGTCGATTTCTCAGAAAGACTTGTCACTAACCCATTGAAGTCGAAACGCGTGAATCCTCACCCGACTGGTGGTTTAAAGGGAACCGGTTGCCCTTTTTTTTTTTTTGGCAGAATTTGCACAAACCCAAAGACATGCTCACTTTAATGGACCCTCGATATCTCCCCACTCCATACCTCTCCCCACTCCATACCCCAACCTGTTTTGAGGGTATGTCAACCCTTGCTCACGCATCGTCACTGTGATTTGGCGAATCCCAGCGAAGATGTGCCGACTTTTTTGAAGGCCCGCCAACATGGTCTGGCCAAAGGTTTAACTAAGGTTTAACTCGCCGCCCCATAGCAATTTGAAGCCCCTTGACTTGCGACCCTCGATATCTCCGCCTACTCCCAGCCCCTCGATCTGTAAGGGTATGATGTCAACCCCTTTTTGACTTGAGCAGTAAATTGGCAACAACAAGTCCAAACTTTTTGCTTACCACTAAACAGGTCCAAGCCCAACAAGTTTTTAAAGTGTAGGTAAGCCACGGTTTTCCCACCAACAAAAACACCCAACATGGCTCATCTTGCCGCTCGCTTCTGGAAAGCCTTCGGTCGAGTCACGCATTGGCCAGCTCGTTCTTTGCAGGCAACGCGCGACCTTCGCCCGCGCGCCAAAGCAGACATCCGCAGCCCAGCCACAGGGCGCGCGCCATCCCATCGCGGAGGAAAACGCCGCGTGGATGGATGGGGAAGCTCCACTTGGCGAGGCTTTTGTCGTTTTTTAGGAATCGGAGCGACCTTTGGTTCTCCCTTTGAAACCAGCCAAAGCGGTACCCTTGAGAAAATGACACACCCTCTTGGATGTCCGTTGCCAAGTTAGCGCAGCAAGTTGTTACCAACCTAGGTTGTAACCTTCTTAGTGAATGGGGCCGGCTGCAAGTAGGTTGTAACCTAGGTTGCTAAGCACCTCCTAACCTGGCATCGGCCAGGTGGGGGTTCTGATTTTTTTGACTGGGTAAGTTTGCAACCCAGATCCTTTGTTGTGCTTCACCGTGACTTTTGGGTTGACGTTGGTCGGGTAACCGCTTTGCCTCGCACATCGCATGGTGAGTCGGTTGGCCTTCTGGGTTTTTTCCTAGGTCTTGGGGCAAGACCTTCATAGAGCATGGCTTTTGGATACACTGTGAGCAGCGGCCCCTGGATGTCCACTTGAAAAGTTGCACTTGCTGGTGGATTCCATTGCGACGATCAGCTCGTTTGGAGGTCTAAGAAAGGTGAATGGAGGGACCCCTGATAAACCATAGCTTTTGGCTAGCTATGAGGCAGCTTTGCCTTTGGGCTCATGTTTGGGGGTAAAAGACCCTCGAGGTTCTTCGACCTGAGGTGTTTTCCCAACAGGGTCCATTTTAGCTCGCGCGTACGCGAGTTCTGCTGTAGACTCCGCCTTGGAACCGAAGCACTTCCCAATCAACATTTGCCGCCCATCTTTGGACGAAAGACTGAAACCAGCTCAACTTGAAGGTGTGCTCGGGGCATCGCCCTGCCAATGAGGTTTTGTTCGTGACTTGGAGTTCATTGGAGTTTGAAATGAGCGCCGCAGGTACTTGAACCCCTAGATTCATTGCCGGAGGTAAACTCGATCGAGTCGCAAAGACCTTGTGACAGCTGAACACACACTGTTCGCACAACAAACACCGCCCCCATGTTTGAAAGGGAATGTACAACACGCCCCTTCCGGGTGGTTGCTACGCCTTGCCCTGTATTTTCCTGAAGTGAAGCGGAAGTTCTCCACATTAGCCTTCATCCTTTGGCTGTGCCTCCCTTCAACCTCGTTCACAGGGACCACACGTCAATTCAAGTCCCACGCCAGCGGTCGGATCCACCTGATTTGGGTCTCTTGATTGGGAACTGTAAAGCAACAACCTTCCATGCGCCATTCATTCAATTGGCAGTTTGTGCAACGAGCTCGATAATTAACTTGGGGTGGCCCCTTTCGAATCTGCACCAGAAAAAAACAAAAAACCGCTTGACTTTTGAGTGGCTCACCCGTATCAAGAACCGAAGGAATGCTGGGGCGAGCTGAGAAAGGCAGGAGGCCTCTTGTGGCGCTTCGAATCGAAGGAGTTTCCCCCCCCCCGCCCCACCTTCAGAGGGAGCTATTGAGCCTCTCAGCGTTGCCGCAACAGAAGCATTGGGGATTCCATTTTTGGCATTTCGCTGGGCAGCAAATGGGTTGCCAGTTGGGCAGCAATGGGGGTTCACCTTGGATTTGCCTCCCACACCATCCAAGGGTCTGATGACATGTCTGAGAGCAAAGTGATCACGGGCAAAGTTGGGTCAACTGTTGAGCATGTTGGACCAATTGTTCAAACAGTCTCCTTGTGGTTTCCTTTGCGGGGGCTGGGTCTGGTTGTTTCAGCAAACTTTGCCCAAAAAGATCCCAAGGGCGCATGTCGCATGTTTCTGGGTGAATTATAATATTTCACCAACCTGAAACAAGGTGGTTGTGGAGCTATTCCCCACATAAACCACCATTTGGGGCGAGGTCGTGTGAATTCGTTTTACTTAGCCCAGATGTTTCTCGGCGCGCGCTTTCCGCTGCATCCGCCAATGTGCGCTGCGCGCTGCCGCGCTCTACTGCTCTCCCACGCCAGGAGTGCAGTGGGGAGCGGTTGGTCTGAATCGCGATCAACTTGTGAAAGGAACACATAGGTCCAAAAACAGTCCTTTGGCAATATTAGGAAGGCTAACAAATGTCCAGAAAAAGTCCTTCGATAATATTAGGTATGCTAGGTGGGGAGTAGTGTTTACCCAGAATCTATGTCCTAGCTGAGGGGTGAACGATTCCGCTTCGGAAGGAGTCATTGCCATCTCTTTGCCAACTGGACATATGTGAACCCGACCATGAACCAAACACCTACGAACGAACTTTGTGCCAGGCCAACGAAGGACACCTTGAGTCTAAGTCAGGCAACGAAGACGTCACAACGTGTTGGACCTTCACTTCCATTTGGTTAAGGCCCCAGGAACATTTTTTTTTTTTTTTAAACAACAAAATATTTCCAGTAGTGATGAATTCCTTTCAAAACCAACAAGGGGAGAAAACAAAAACACGAATCTTCTTAAGCCACTGGACCTTGGGAGACATTTTCGCTCGTGTCTCTTTGTGCTCCAAGAGCTCGCGGACTTGGATGGCATTTGCCGCATTTGCCAAGGGCAATTGCCACCCGAGATTTCGCGAAAAGGACAAGAGCTGGTTGCCTGCTATGGTATCTGGGATCCACTGGTATTCTTCTGGTTCTCATTGCTGGCTGGGATCCACTGGGAAAGTTGGATAAACAACTTCTGGTCCTCATTTAATTGAAGCAAAACGGGATACACCGCCAGGGGTCGAGTCCTATCTTGAGAAATCGTTTTGAGACAAACTCATTGGCTCAACTTGATTCCTGCGATTGCCGTTGATTTTAGTTGACCCTTTTCCGAATTGGGCGTGTCAGTTTTTCGGGTACCCACTTTTTTTTTCGTGGTTTTATATGGAAACCAGAAGGAACACCACCATTTGTTTGGGGAGGGTCCTCCATTTTACGACCCACCTGTTTCATCCCTTTGAAACCAAACCAACCGAAGTCTCACTGTCCCCGTTTCGGCCTAGGCCTGCGGGTTGCAAGGGAAGTATGCGCTTGAACTGAGTTGCCAAAACCTCGCCACCAGGGTCAGCTGCACATGTCAGCACTCCGCTTTGTGGGCTGGTCATGGCGCAACTTTTGCCCAGGAAACACATGAAACACAACTCACAACGGTTGCTTAAATTCCCTGCCCCCAAGCAACCCAAGCCTGGTAGGCGGTTTCAACCATACCATTGACGAATGTGACACTGAACCTAAAATATGGGGTGCTCTTTTCCGGGATTTTTCCCGGAAAAAAAACACACATAAAAACCAAAAAGTCCTAAAACAAATACCCCTCCCCCCATTTGTCAGGTCGCTTGAAGTTGCAAAGAGGAAACTTCACATATGCAAAACCGGCTGCAGACCCCAATGGAGAACATCCCCTATTTTTGACACAGTCTGTGATGCAACTGCGCCCGTTTCAAAACTGAGAGCCCCAACTGTAGCAAACCAAACAGCTGGAGACTCTTGAGCACTCTAGTGCTGAAGGGGCTTGCCTCCTGCAAACAAGGATGCAAAGAACTGTCTCCTTCCCCTTGGACACTCTTCCAACCCTGCATTGTAAAAGGAAAGACCTCAAACCATGGGTACCAGCCTGAAATGGGAGTTTCTTCAAATGGTGGACCCCCCTTTTCGGTTGCTTTATGAAGGGACATCAAGAGGAAACCAACATATTTTTTTGGGACCGATTCTTATTGTGAGAAACACCCGAAGGTAAAAACGAGGTTGGATCTCAACGTGGAGCAGCCTTGCCAGCCTACTGAAAAGCTAGCCGCAAGGCTCAGAAATAAGCAAACTTGGCTGGCATGCTCTGCACCATGTTCCCTTTCCACATCCACATGCTTGCAGCTTCCACCATAGGCCAACAAAATGGCTACTGTGGATGGACGAAATCCTGCACCACTTTGAAACCATGGGACACCATTGTTTGTTGCTATTTACAGGGGACTCATCCTTCCAGGGGTTGTTAGGTGGTGTAGGATTCCGTCCATCCACTGTACTACGGCCTGTAAAGTCCAGACACGGTTGGCAACAACTGGAGGCACACTGAACTTTGGTTGATCTCAAACTTCTGCTCTGGGCGAAGGCTTCTGCAGTTCACTCGCGCTCACGCCTTCAAGGCGGCATATGGAAGCATTGCCAGACCCGCCCATCGCCCGGATGCCGTGAAACTTTGATGTGATCAAGTGATCCCATTTGGCTGAGACCCCCCGGAAAAAATAAAAGCATACTTGCAGTAGTGATAAATGCCTTTTTAAACCAACAAGGGAGAATCAAGCATATTTTAAAGCAAATGGATGTGGTGGGATCTAGTTGAGACATGCGTATGAGTTCCAACTGGTTGGGCAAGACCGTTATTGTTTCGGCTTTATTGGCCAATCCAGTCAGGAAGTGAGGACAGGGAGGACACATAAACACCGAATGCTGAGCTTCAGCGGAAAGAGATCAACCATTGACAGTCAAAGCGGGGGGGGGGGGGGAAAGGGGGGTGGTTCATGCCTCACCTTTCACCCAACTCTGAGGGAAGGAACGCCCAAATACGGCCGCTTGGTTTCTCCTACGTGCGCAAGGAGATTCCTGAAAGGGCAGGGCCTTTTGTGGTTTCCGGACAAAGATGGTGGGTTTCTGCCACCATGAGCCATGCAAGTGGGAGGCGATTTGCGGCTGGATGTGTTTACGGTTCCTATGGGTTGGGGGGGTTGGGGGAGGTGGGGGGAGTTGGAAGGTTGGTTATGATTGGAAGGACATGTCGCAAATGATGGGCTGAAGCACCCTCAGCCATTCCAGCCTCAGTGGGCAAGGTTCTGGCCTCATGAGCGCCAATGGCTCAAGGGGAGCCAGCCTTCAGTGCTCACACGGATGCCCCCAGGGTGCCCCCAGATTCAACCTGGATTACTTTTTCAACTTGCTCACACGTGCTCACACTGCACACACACACACACAGCCAGTTGATCCTTAACCAGTCCCAAAGTAGAAACCCTGCATACGTGAGATCGTTTTATTTCTAGCACACAAAACCCATTAACCTTTGGTTCTAATTACTACAATCCTTGTAAAACCAGGTAGTAACCCCCCTCTCA